TTTTTTTTTGCTTAAAGGACGCACGAAAAGGTGGATGTCCAGGAATTCCTGTTGGTATTAGAGTGAGGCTCGATAATGGTATCAGCGGATTTATCCCCAACAAGATGATTTCGGACAAACCAGAATCCTTCAAAAATCCCCTTGAAAGGGTTAAGGTGAGTTCTGTCCAGTCATCATTCTTGCGTGAAGTGATGAGTCTTCTAGATGAACCAGCCAATCTACTGCCGAATAATGAAGCTGGAGCCCGAAAAATTCTCTTGCCTTTTATCATGTCGAACATCTGACCTCAATAAAGAACCAGTAGCCGAACATGACATATATTGGGATTACGCTTCAGAAAGAGAAGACATAGAGAAGGATCGAAGTGCTAAGAGTCAAAAGGTGGTTTTCTAAAAAGTTTCATCAATTTCGGACTTTTCCGAAAAAATTAAAATTTTTAGACGGAGTCTAATTTCACTCATCGGCAAATAGTTCATCCACAATTCCACAATGTCAGTTATCGCGAAGCTCAAAGGATGCTGAATGCAAAGGACACGGTACGATAATTAGATTTTGTTTGTTGCTGGCATCACTGTATCCTTTAAATTCCTGTTCCTTTTCATTTTTGGAGCTCTTATTTCTCATCTTAATCTGAGCCTAGCGCTCAAAATCGTTATTGATTGAGCATGTATATTCTTTTTCATCTGCTACTTTGTTTACGTTGAAAAGGAAATTCGAAAGTAATCAATCCCACTTATAACTTCCATTGTTTTTAGGGAGACATCATCATTAGACCGTCGGCAAAATCCACAAATCGGTTGACCATTTCATGGAAAGTCACCGATGGTGTTGTGGCCAACATTGATGTCGAAGAACATGATAAAGAAGATCCAACTGAGCTCGGGCGCCGACTCACCATTCTGTGAGTTCAACATTTGTTATGTGGATTTTTTTATTCTTCGTTACGCAATTTCATCGCTTTGATTCCTTGTTTGGCTGCATGTGTAAGTGTTCAGAGGAGAGGACTTCGACGACCTTGATGAAGCTATTGCTCGCTTTTTGTACCCAATGGCAGACCTTTGCAGGGATGTAATGTCTCACAAGGTGTGTGTTTTATCAGCTATCATATTCAGACACTTTCACGAGAAAAATTAGAATCCATGAGTCCCTTCTTCTGTATCGACGGGCTAGTTCCCAGACGACAGCTTAGTGTCGTGTGTCATGGGCTGCTCATATTCAATGAATCAGTCCTGTAAAGTGATATCAACTCAGATTCCTTGTATTAGTTTTTGTGACCACTTGACCCGGATCTATGTCAGATCTGATTAGCTTTCAATAATTACAGGCAATAATTCATAAATGAAGTTAGGATGGTTCCATTGAAACTCTGTTCAGGAAACAATACAGTGCAAAGTTGTGATTACCGTAATGGCATGAGCTATTGCACAAATTGCCTTTTCACCATAAGGGAGAATCATAATCACGTTGTATGTCTCTCAAATGCCTCATTGCAGTCTTCTGAGAGTTAGCCCCTGAAAGAGTTACTCAAGACTGGAACGAATTAGGCAGTTTTAGATGTCGTAGCTCTTAAATCTTAAATCCGAAATTATGCATCAATCTAACAAATTTTAGTAGTTGATGTATAATGTCAAATGTTTATGAGGTTCATAACATGCTGATTGCTATTTCTGTTTCTCGTCTTTATTGTTAGGTGTCATTAACGTACTTATGATTTGTAGTACTTCATGGAAGGTGTTTTCTCTGAAGAACGTGACAGGATCGATGCCAGACTTCGCGACGAGAAACGAGCATCACCATCACGAATTCCGTAAGTCGGGATGTTGTTATTTTGACGTTTTTTCTTATTATTAATATTTAGATATACGCTGACTGCATCTCGTACATATCCAGCAAAGTTCGTTCTTTCCTATCTGGCAAGGGTGAAACCGTGTCACGAATATATATCAGGTCAGTGATTATTGTAACTTTCCTACTCACTTTCGATGAAGTATGAGGTTTTAGTGACTAGTGAAGGTCTGAAGTTTCGGCAAAAGTTCTTCGCTTCTCTCGATGCTCTTCTCGCTTGGTTCAAGGTTCACTTTCGCGAACCTCCGCCAGGAGGTAAGTTAAGAAAAATTCGCTGTTATTATGCTGTAGTATTTGGGTATAACTAGCGTCTATCAAATTTTTTCAGTGCAACATCGTCGGTAGAGAACTGATGGTGACTGGTCCTTGCTCTTCTTCGAAGCCAGAAGATTTTCGGTCTGCTCTTCATTGTTGTCATGTTTCCAGGCCAAATGCGGCTAGCCAATTCGCTCTCATGTCGTTTGAAATCTCGGTTTACGGATAGTAATAAGTTAATCATATTGATTTCCTTGCTTTCTTGTACGTTATCTGGGTTTTTACACTATGTTTTTGAAAATCTATTTATATTAACAAGGAAGATTGTGAATATTCTCATTTATTCTTCATTTTGTCGCAATATCAGTGAAGAATTGAAACAAGATTGTTTTTTGGCTACATCTCGATGATTTCTCCTGTGTGAGGTTTGTTTCCTTCGATATTTGTCTGACCTGTTGTCGGCCTTTTCTATACTTTGGGAGGAGGTGCTAGCGGTACGGTAACAAAGAGCAATGTAATCGATGTGTGCTTCCAGTTGGCTGACTTAAAGTCCCTTTATGTCTCTCGCGGGAGTTCTTAACCATTCCTCTATCTAGGCCCGAGATATAGCATATTTTACATGGACGCAGACTTCTACCCGAAGGAATCTTTCCAGCTCTTGGTGGCGATATATGTAGGTTGAGTATTAATGTTCTCATCACTTTCTTCTTTTCTTCCGGAACTCGATATTCAGGGTACAAATGGTGTAGTGGTGAAGAGAGTACTGTTAAGAACAACTTTTTTTTNNNTTTTTTTTGCCTTCTTGGCTTTTTTCAAGAGTGTGCTGTAGGTAAAGAAGTGATATTACGGACATTGTTTTACTTCCGAGATCGTGCTCGTGCCCATAAACTAACAAATGCGATTAAGCGAAATGCCAGAATCATAATCAGAATGAGTACTGCATTTAGCCATTTGTTTTGAGGGGAAAAGCTTAGGCTTCGTATTACATCAGATCCATTTCGATAGCAGCCCATTGCACCGGGCTTTTCACACCCTATAATTTGCTGCTGAATAGTTACTATATTGCCTTTGAGGAATCATGATAATCACCTGTGATGGAATCAACATGACTCCATTCGTTAACAGTCAGACTTTCGAACGCATAACCGAAGTAGGAAAGATACTTGAACGGATAGAAATAGAAGGGTAGGCTGCCTTGATTTATGAAGTAACCTAAAATTTATAATTTATGGTAGAAAAAGGGTTATTTTATGGCTAAAAGGCTTTGTTTTTGTTTCAAGCAGACTATTTTAGGCCCAGAAGCGTCGTGCTAATTACGTGAAAGGGGTGGCTCGTAATCCAGATTGATGCGCAAAAGGTTTGAACATAATTTTGAAGCGATGTAATCTAGAAGGACGGAAGTTTGGGAAAAATTAGGCGCAGAATGCATAGTCTCGATTCCACATTCAAAATAGTCACTAGATTGGTTGCATGCGAAGAGGTCAACAATAAGCTGTAGAGGTAGGCAATTGTGCCATAGTATGGCAGTCCAGTTTGTATTGTTAAATACTACAATAAATATTTAAGCATACCTCCAAAAGCCATCATTGGTACAACGAAAATCGGTAAAACAGCTATGGCGACCGACACCGAACCAAATACACATCCCATGGCGTATGCTAAACGATAGTGTTGGCTCTTTAAAACTTCCTTATACATCAAAGTAGAAAAAAACTACTCCATCAGTTACTTAATTGTTTGTTGTTGACTGCTAGTTTGTTAGTAAGTTTGTTACTTGCCTTTATTCGCGGCAGTTTGCAATTCGAAGGTATCACAAGGTTGGCGAGTTATGGGCTTCTCTCATGTACTAGTTAATTTTTTACCCCCTTTTTTTAATCTCTCACTTTATCTACATATTTTCCCTCTTCTTTTCTCTTTTCTCTCTTACTTTCTTATTTCCTCTATCTACATATTTCCACCCTCATCTTTTCTCTTTTCTCTCTCACTTTCTTACTTCCTCTCACTGTCTCACACTCTCGCACTTTCTCTATACTTCCTCTCACTGTTTCTATTTTCTCTGTCTATCTCTCTACTATCTCCCTGATTTCCTCGTTCTCCCTCACTTTCTCTATTTTCTTTCCCATTCCCTCTGTTAATTCACTCACTCTATTTTCTCCTAAACTTTCTCTTGCTCTTTCACCCATTCTCTCACTCCCTCACTATCTCAGTTTCGCTATTTCCTCTTTCACTCTGTTTATTTTCTCTATCGGTTTGGAAAATCGAGATTTTTCGAAAATTTCACAAGGGAGACCGTTACCAAAATTCGAAAACTCTTAAATCGGTTATATCTCTTGCTCTTCGAGAATTATGAATTATAATTTCACGATTTAAAATATCAGTACACTTATAAACTTTCCGAAAATCTTCTTTTCTCAAGTTATGCTGCAAATACATTGTCTGAAGTATTTTGATCAGCTGAATCGATTGTTCCAACCAGGGGTCGCCCGCCGTCAGGCCGATTGCTGCGGTTTTCAATTGTGCAGTCGGCTGCAGGTGCTGCAGGTCTTTCTCTTTGAAGCAGAAGCTTACAGATCGTATTCTCATTAAATTCTTCACAGAATTTTCTTTAATTGGGATATTTACATGAAACAATCTCATATCCAACGTCATTCACCTTGTTTCAGATATTTGTTTACTACAAGGTCTTCGCTTGCTATCGTACATGACCGAACATACCGATAGAAATGGCCGTATTTTGAACAAGGACAGCAATTAGCAGATAAAAGGCGAAAGCCTCCCATAGCGGTATGAGACGTGACATCCAGTAGAGAATCGTACCGAATATTACAGCCGATAATGTGAAGGCAGGTAACTGAAATAGTCGCTATGTTCTCTACCATGAGCGAATTTGGGAGAAAAAATTCTTACACCTCTGCCAGATTCTTTGCCAAGAAATACGCAAGTACGCTGTATAGTCCAGAAGTATATTCGCGATAGAAGGTATCAATTTCCGAGCAGAAGTGCTATAAAAAACGAAACTCGTCGGTGTTCCATGTCATGCCAATGGTATGTTTTTCATGTTATTTATTACTTATTTTCCCTATGTAACATCTCTTTTACTTCCTTTTTTCTTCTCAAGCTGTATTGGAAAAAGCTCTTTGCCACATATAAGGATGTTGGTGGTGAGAAGCTTGAGAAGAGTTGTGACTGATTCATCCTTTTGGCTGTTCATAGTACGCGATTTAGCCCGCGAGCGAGCGATGGGGGACTACTCGTCCGGCTTTATCGACCAAGATCCAGTTGTAGACAAGGGGCTACCGCCCCCGTCGCTCGCTCGCTTGCTCGCGGGCAAAATCGCGGACTATGAAAGCAGCCTTTCGCTTCATCAGTATTTTCTTACCTGCATTCAAAGCCGTGATTTCTCTGGTTTATAACACTGGCTTCGTTATTTTGCTAATTTGCCCTGACAAAACATTCTGCCTCTTTTTATAAAAAAAAAACTTACGTCGACGACAACAAATTGAAACATGAAAGCCATGTTCATAACTAATTGGTAGAGCGACCCGTTGATATTTGCCACTTTATCCACTGTATAAGAGTCTCCCAAATAGACGATACCGGTCAGTGCAGCTATCACCTATAACAAATCAAAAAGGATAAAGTCTGTGAGCGTTACCCAATCCCATCTCAGATATGCGCCCACGCATTCGACCTAAATTTAGAACAGTAAAGGCGTAGTGAATGCGTTTGTGGCCTTTGAAATCACTTGCGGTCTCCAGCCGATGTACAGGTCTCACAATGATGGCGGTTTGTGGGCAAAAATTCGGCCTCGGCGGGAATCAAGCCCGTACTTATGCTTTCTGGGCACCGCGCCCTTTATTCCTTACACTACCGAGACCCCGCCTGC